CGCTTGTGCTGCTGAGATGTTACTTGTTTGTTTTTCTCAACAAATAATTTGTTCTTCGCATTTGTTTGTTCGGTGTATAAATTTCATGTCACACACTCACTAGATGAACGACCCCAGGGTCACGCTGTCATTCTATTCGTTCTCTTTTGAATATGGAGGCCTTCGTTAATAATGGCCGATCCATGACCTCTGACCCTAGTTCTGACCTCACGTGGTCTCAATGTTGCATTAAGGCCACTAGAGTATATTTGGTGCCAAGCACTCATGTCAATCTAGTTATTTGAGATCTGTAAAGCATCTACTCAATATTCAGTTGCAGCAGTAAAGAGGATCCACTCAAGATAATGAGATTTTCAATCTAAACAAGCATGTTATTTATAAGTAGTATGTCTGCTTGCACTTGTCCATGAAGTTCACAAGGCCACAGGGTGTCCCATATGCAATCTTTCGCCAAGCCCACGTTAATACAGACTCTTCTAGGGTTGGGTAAAAATATTGATTTTCTCATTCTCAATACTGATTCTTAAAGGGACAGTTCACCTGAGAATGAAAATTCTGTATTCGTTTATTCACCCTCATGTCATTCCAAACCTGTATGCTTTTTTTCTGTGGAACAGATAGAACAGATAAATCTTTTCTGTTCTGCAGAAGGTTTAGAATGACATGAGGGTGAGTAAATGATCACAGAATTCATTTTTTAATATTTATGTTTACGTTTTTTCCACCAGTGTAACCTGATTCACCCAAAAATTACTCTTTTGTTTTTTTTTAAATTGTTTAAAAAACACTGAGATTTTTTTTCATATGTAACCAAACTGACATTACTGAAATATACCCCAAAGAAATCAGAACTCAATCTAAATGAATCAAAATCAGAATCAAGTTGAATTAAGAGATTGTGAATGCCAGATATGAAGGTCAGCCGTTTAGATACATTTGTTTATTGTGTTTATGAACCCATAGGATTAACCATTGTTTGATGAGTGACATATACCATACGGCACTCCAATGACACAAGAGTGGAACGATTAACCTGTGGCATCGTGAATACTTTCCACATATCATACTTGTTAGACAAGTACAATCTCATCCAAGACCGATAGTCCCGTTCTCACTCACTCATGTTCGGTTGCTTTCTTCTATCCACACATCCGTCCTCAAATATCTATACCTAAACCCAAGCCTTTTTTTTTCTAATCTACTGCTGAATGTACTTTTCCAGTGTTTCTGAAATATGGACATGCCTCCCACAAACACCAATATGTTTTTAATGTAGAGAACCATATATCTTGTCTCTTCAAGAAAATTTCACAAGGAGTGTTTTCCATGGGAAGCTCACAGAGAGGTGGCTCTTATATGCATTTTTTTCTCCCCTCCTTCACCTTCATCCGTCTTTTGAGGCGTTTGCCAAGCCAGCACAGCTTGAAGTCCTGGCAGGCCATTGTTTGTCTGTGATGTTAATGCTTCTGGGCAGACATTCTTTTGGAAGGGGTGAATGAGTGATATCTGAGGCGTTGGGAGATGTACTGTTGCCTCCCCACTGAATGATGGGACAACTGCTCCACGGCTGGCCGAGAGCTGTAACCCGAGGAGGAGATCCTCCATCTGTGCCACTGTGAAAGGCCTGGAGGGCTCAAGGCTTAGCTGACCTACACCCCTGGGAGTCACGTCAGTCATTGCCTCAAGTGCGCCCTCTGCAGGAATTTGTAAGGTGGTGCGCCTAAAGGGAGAGTTCACCCCAAAATTACTCACCCTCATGTCGTTCCAAACCTGTATGACATTCTTTCTTCTAAACACAAAAGGAGATATTTTGAAAAAAAATTTTGTCCATACAATTAAGTCAATAGAGTCCAAAACAACATCTGCAAAATATATTCTTTTGTGTTCCATATAATAAAGAAAGTCATACAGGTTTGGAATGTTGGAGCATTTGAATTGTCATTTTGGTGAGTTTTCACATTAAAAAACAATAATGCTGTTTTGTCCTGAGGCATGTCTATGTCAGCTTGATATTTTTGCCCATTTCTTCAGTTCTAGGGAAAATAAATGCCAGCTTCTTAGAGTTCTTTTGATTTAATTGGCTTCCGTTGGAAATTCTTGAGTAAAGAGCCTCCTTCATTTTTCATTCTATTGTTAAGTCTGAGGAGTCTGACCTTGGGATGAACCAACTTTAATCATGTATTCCATGAGCCCTCTGCCTCCCGGTGTCCTGCCTTTCTTTAGACTCAGGCCTGCCCCGGTCATCACCCATAACCCTCTGCTTGAACACGTAGAGAAAGAGCGATGGAGAGAATCAGCTGAATAGGAGGATTATCGTTATGGGAGGTTTTTGTTGTAGGACTTGTTCTGATGCAGCCATGTGCCATGTTTGTGTTAGTAGCCTTGATAGAAACAGCTAATGAGCTTCTTTTTTAATCCTAATGATGAATTAGCACAGCATTGTGTGGTTTATTGACCAGCTGGCCCATCGCTCTTCAAGCGCATGAAAGAAAGCCCAACATTGATGAGCTGTTTGTCTGTTATTGGGTTTAATGGGGTCAAATCTCTTTATAACCCACTGGAGCTCATCTGATACACATTGAAAATGAAATGCTGAGGTGGCATTTGATTTAGAGGCCACGTAAGAATATTATAAAGTGACACAATGTGACTCAATCCTCTCACTCATTGATTTTTCTGACACCGACATAGAAAAGCACTCTGTTGCCTTTAGGTGTTGTTAACCAGAGAGCTAATATGTTGTTGTCTGGTCCTCTAACTTTGTGACCCAGGGGAAATAGTTATTTAGTATAATCTAACATAGATATTTCACATGATAGACAGGTGAAAGGACATGAGCTTTGACTCAAATCACATTTCACAGTGTATTTATGTGTTTGGCAGATGCTTTTATCCAAAGTAACTTACATTGCATTGAAGATTTACTTTTTTTTTTTTTTTATCAGTTCACGCATTCCCGTGAAATGAACACTCTAAAGTAAGGGCCAATTTGTTTACAATAGTTAATGCATTAGGTATCATGAACTAACAGTAATGTTACAGCAGATAATGTAAATATACTGTTGATATTGTTTATTGTCAATTCATGTTTGTCCATAATACTTTAAATAATATAAAATTACACTACAGTTCAAAAGTATGGGAAATTAATACAGCAAGGATGCATTTAATTGATCAAAAATGACATTTGTAATGTTACAAAAGTAAATAAATTCTGTTCTTTTGAACTTTCTATTCATCAAAGAATCCTGCAAAAAATGTATTATTGTTTCTACAAAAATATTAAGCAGCAAAACTGTTTTCAACACTAATAAAAATAAGTAATGTTTTGACTCCAAATGAGCATATTATTGAAGGATCATGTGACACTGAAGACTAGAGGAATGGCTTCTGAAAATTCTGATTTGCCATGACAGGAATAAATGACATTTTAAAATACTGTAAAATAGAAAACCGTTATTTTTGTAAGATACATCTGTCAAAAACAATAAATCTCACCCCCTCAAACTTGTGGTTTAACAAATGGTTTGGAATAACTTGAAATGTTAAATATTTGCTGGTATATGTAAAATTTAAATTAACCAACATTTATAAATGCTAGTTTATTAAAGCTAATGCATTAGTGTTAAATAAATTACCTTATTTAAATGTGTTTTTCTTGTTTTGTAATGTTTTCCGTGATCCAGTGCTCTGGACACCAGTTTTGGAAAACTGTAGAACTGTGTTGAATTTTGTCAATACTAGACTGAATCATTCCACTTTAAAAGATGACAGGAAACACAAGAAGCCAGTAAATTTAATCAGGAAATAGCTTTGTTTTTGCCAGTACCCAATGACAAAATAAAAAGACGTTTGCATGTTACACACTTTCAAATGCCAGATTTTGAGTTGGAAACATTGGACTGCGTGATCACTCAGGAAGTATGTTTTTCACAGCTGAGATTTTTCTTTCCATTCAAATGATGTAGTTCCCAAGAGTAGTAAACAATAGTTGTTCAAAAAAGCCCTAAAGTGCTTGCAGATTTTGAGCAGCATCTATACACATCCACACACACACACACACTCTGCACACAAACCACCGCCAAGCCGGCCAAACCTACAGGGAAACTCTGTATTCCAGCAATGCGTTTGAAATCCACATAATGATAATCTGATAGGTCTCGAGCTCCATCTGCTCTCAGTAGTCTTTTATTGTCCGTAATGTGTGGAAATCTTTATGTCAGTGTGCCCAGCTGTGCTTCTGTCCACAGCAGGATCGCAATGCTAACCTCACATTAGCGTGGAAGCTCATCTGGCTCTCCCCAGGGTTCTTGCTGGGTGTCCACTAGCTTTACACCCTGAAAATTCCCACCAAATCCTGGGCGTCCTTCATGTTTAATCCAGTCACCAGCCCACAATCACGTTCCCTCATTTTTGGTGTAAATATAATATTTTTTGCACTGATTCTAAACATAGCTGACCTGAGCATATCCATCTTCACAAAACTCTTATGGAACCTATGGGAGTCTATCTTTTTTAAATCACTTTCTTGTCGAAATGAAGTCGCACACATTCCATTGACATTCACATTTGGTTAGATCCTCAAGAGGTCATCTCGATTTACAATAAACAAGATGTAAATCTGGAATAGTTGGCCGTTTTGGCACGAGAGATGCACATTTTTTCTTCTAAAACATTCCTCGGAGTGCCATATTTCAAGCTGTCATCTCTCGCCCATGGAAAACTCATTCTTTCAGGCATATTTAAAGCATCCACGTCAACGACAGGATTATGAATTTTCCTCGTGATCCTCAGTGAGCCCTAGCGGACTCGGATTGGATGATTTACGTGCTTTCACATTTGCGGTAATTGCTCTCAAATAAGTGGCTTCCTCCAGAAGTGGCCTTTCTGTGAAGTAGGGCCTCGATGGCTCGTAAAACATACGAATGAGAGTAACTGAATTGCTAATATTTCATATCATATATACTCACTGCGGCCTCTCGCTTTTCTTTTTGTCACAGGTTCTACCGAGGAGACTACCACATTGATGTATGCATTAACGATTATTTGGACGTATACTGTCCCCACTACATTGACACGGTCCCTGAGGAGAAAACGGAGCACTACGTCCTCTACATGGTCAACTACGACGGCTACAGCTCTTGCGACCACACGGCGAAAGGTTTCAAGCGTTGGGAGTGCAACCGGCCCCACTCGCCCAACGGTCCGCTGAAGTTCTCTGAGAAGTTTCAGCTTTTCACACCATTCTCACTGGGATTTGAATTTCGGCCAGGCAGAGAATATTACTATATCTGTGAGTATCATGTTGATTTTTCTTTCTTTTTTTGTGTGTTGAAGTGATTTGTATCTCAGTGATGTTTTATGATTTCTATATCCAAAACCAGACGCTGTGCATGTTAAATAGATTTGTAAGATTGGCTTTCCGTTTATACATGGAAAAAGTTGCATTGCCTGGAAAAGGATGTTGTATTAGCGTCCTCACGGAGGATAACGCAACTCAAGTCTTGCATTTAATGGTATACTTTTAAGACAAGTGTCTGATTACGAGCATTAAGGAAACGAAGGCATTGCCAAGTATGACTGTGTTTTTCAGGAGTCTTGGCAAACAGGCTACAAGGAAAACATGAACCTCAGGGAAAAACATCTTGGTCTTCCTCTAAAGAGTCTTTGTTACAAACTCCTAGTCTCAGCTTTCGTTTGCTCGTGAGAGGGCTCTTAAAAACAAGCATCTAAACCCATGTTTTTACAACTGGAGTCAGATCCCTACAGGGCGGGAGTGGGAAGACAAAATAAGGCACAGGAGTGGTCCGACTGCTCAGACTGCTCAGGGCCGTGATGGGTTCATTTATGCCGGCGCACACAGGAGATGTGGAGCGTTTAATTTGGCGGAATCCGACCTGATGATCTGACAGATCTCATGGGCGCATAAAACGATGGACATGTTTTTATGAGATGTGAAAGGAAGGAATAGGAGAATGAAGAGGGGGAAGTAATAGAAACAGTGGATAAGTACATGGAGACTGAGAAAAAAGACAGATTGGAATGCACGGTACATAGCATTTAGGGGTTAGATCCCAGCAGGAGATATGGATGTTTTGCATGAATGTGGGTGTCTATCTGAGATGTTGCAACATAGTAAAATTTACTTTTTTCCCAGAAGGCCTGTGAGTAAGAATAATAGGATGGGAAACATCTCGACTGAAGTGATGGAGCTGTCAGATACTATGAGGGGTTTTACAGTTAATGCGAGTTGGAAAACAAGGATTCATAGTGCACACGTCTCACTCCTGTGTGACTCAGTGTCATGATTCCACTGTTATGGGCTCTCTCAAGAGAAGAGGAAGTTTCTCCATTTGTACGGAATTACGAGTAAAGGAAACAAAATAAACAGCATGCCAGTCTGCTCAAGTTGAAGCATTGCAGTTTAGAGTGATTGCACAATGTTATCTCAAGTACACAGCGGCTTTCAGTAACCTTGATCATATCACAAACTGTTTTAAACTAGAAATAGAAAGCAGAAAATATTTGAATATATTGTAATACCAAGCTATTTGAATAAATTAACAATTGAAAAAAAATTAAATTAAATTAAAAAAAAAATTAAAAAAAATTGTAATTAAAAATAAATTGTTTTTTATATAAATTGATATTTTTTTACTGTTAAATTTTTACAGTATTATTTACAATTGACAATGTGTACCATTTAATTTTCTATTATTATTTTAGCCATTTTTGTATAATTTGATACATACGGTGTAGAAAATAATTTCACAAAATTTGTAGATATTTTGCTATAAAAACAGTTGCTGTTTTTATATTTAATTCATTTATTTTTTTTTACACAATTTTATACTGTATAATATAAAAGATTTGTATAGATATTTTAAAATACATCATGTAGCCAGAGGCAAAAAAATCTATTAATTTTAAGTCTATTTTAACCAAGTTTTCCTGAATCATTCTCTTCATTAGTTTGATGTCTGCCTGTCATGATTTGGTTAGACAGAATGTCTTTGTTAGCTGGTGTGGTGGCTAATCATTCTGAGTGAGGGGTCGCTCCAGGAGAGCAGAGGGGTAACAAGCGCGGGCTCTGTGCTGTCAGTCAGCGTGCCCGGCCCACTCAGGAAGTGATCAGGGGGGATCAGAAGGCCCAGCCCTGCAGGTCAAATGTGAACATGCTCTGATGGCTGCAGTTGAACTCACAATCCTGAACGGCTCAAGGCAGCATGTTTTTCCAATATGGCCACTGTGGAAGTCTGATCTTAATCTCAGAGGATAGAAATCCAATTTCAAGGGAAGGTTTTTAGTCGGCCTCTCCCTCCTGCGTGAGCAGGGCCAACGGTAGTGCAGGCTGTCTGATATGAGCCCGCTTCAAAAGCCCACGACTGCTATTTGTAGTCTAGTCCCTCCATCTTCATAATGCTGTAAGGTAAACCAGAAACATTCCCACTTTGTGCTTAAAGCAAGACCTGATTTGTAGCTTTGATAAGAATCCTGTACTTTGCGGTTTGCTTATAAGTGGCATAGTCGCTACCTGAGCCAAAACTATTCCCCACATTACAAAGCGCTCTCAAAGCACTCAAGAATGCGTGAGAAAAGAGATAGGTGTGCGTCTTAACTCAAAGACAGAGCATCAATCCATCTTTCCCTCATTTATCAGACTTATCGGTTACATCGCATCTGATCTCTCAACTCATAGCTGAAATAGTGGTGTCTGGGAGGTTTATTGCCCCTGGCTGGCTCGGGTGGAGAACTACACAGGGATCTGGTGTCGGCCGTGTGGGAAATGAGACGTGGATGAGCAGCCCGGGCCATGACAGTGTAGAGTGTCTTTGAATAAGCAGAGTTGTTGTAGTAGTCTAGTCTTAATGTCGGCCAATGAGAGGTCAGTTACATGCCGCATGCTGACAGCGAGGGAATTCTGATGACTGACAGAATGAGAGTTTGTCATATAAGCCACCCATGAAATCATCTTAATACGGCCGAGACTGTTGATTATTGTCACCGTTTATGTTAAAAAATTTCAGCGAGAGCCTTGAAATTAGAGATGTGTATTTCTTACTGGCATTGAGCATTCAGGCAGTCACATTTACAGTAATTAAGGTCCAAAATTAACACGTCAAGTGCAATTTATAAGCAAAATGGCTTTGATGAGTAAATTAGTTACTTGCCAATGACGAGTAACTTTATAAGGAACTGTAAGAGTAACAGCCTGTCCTTGAACAAAACTGTTTACTAAAGAAACAGATATATTTCTTGTGATAGTGATAGAAGTGATAGTCCACCCCAAAATGAAAATTCATTCATCATTTACTCACCCTCAAGTTGTTCCAAACATGAGTTTCTTTATTCTGTGAATCATAAAAGATGATGATTTTAAAGGGGTCATATGACGTTGCTAAAAAGAACATTATTTTGTGTATTTATGTGTTTATGCGGTTTAAGGTTCAAAAAACACATACACAAACACAAAATTCCACATACTGTACATTATTGTTTCTCCTCTATGCCCCGCCTTTCTGAAACGCGTCAATTTTTACAAAGCT